ATCCAAATATTAGTCTGCAGTATTTTATTGATTCATTACAAAAAATTATTAATAAGAATACTTCTAATAAAATTCTACCTAGAAAATACTGCAATATTAAGCCGTGGATTACACCCGGCCTGGTCCGTTGCATTCGACATAGGGATAAACTACACCAAAAACTACGACTCGCACCGGATAACGAGATACTTTCTGTTACTTATAAACGGTACAGGAATTTCTGCAATAATCTGTTGAAAAAATTAAAAACCCAATACGACAAAGTTCAAATACAAAAAGCTGGTAAGAATAGTAAACTCATTTGGGAAGTTGTTAAAAATAATACTTTTAGATCAAAGAAATCAGACTCTGCTCTAGAACTTTTAGAAACTGATACAACCCCAATTCTAGCGGCAAATAAAGTGAACAAATATTTTGTTGATATTGGTAAAAATCTAGCTGAAAAAGCTCTATACAGAAATTCCTTTTCGCAAAGTACAACTATGTCACTTACTACCTTAGGTTCGTTTGTGTTACTCGACACTGACGTTAAAGAAATAGTTAGTATTATAGATGGATTAAAGGACTCTTGTGCTGTTGGGTGGGATGACATCCCTAATAATGTACTTAAAAGATTTAAGCACGTAATTGCACCTCCACTAACATATATATTTAACTTATGCTTAACGAACGGTATATTTCCCAATCTTCTTAAAAAGGCCTTAGTAACTCCCGTTTTTAAAGCCGGAGACAAAACTAATATTACCAATTATAGACCTATTGCAGTACTATCAGGCCTTTCTAAGATTTTGGAGAGAATTATTAACGTTAGACTAATTAAATATCTTGAGAACAACAATTTACTCTCCAATCGTCAATTTGGATTCAGATCTAAAAGATCAACTAACCAAGCGGTTCATCAACTCACTAATTATATATGCACAAGTTTGGATAAAGGTATGTACACAATTGGGATCTTCTTAGACCTTGCGAAGGCATTTGACACCATTTCTTCCTCCTTGTTATTCCATAAACTTGAAAAAATTGGTATAAGAGGAGTACAGCTGAAATTATTCACGGACTATCTTAAAAATCGTCAGCAGTGCGTAAAAATTGGTCAATATAGAAGTTCTGAACTAAAAAACAGTAGTTACGGAATTCCTCAGGGTAGTATATTAGGTCCTACCTTATTCCTAATATATATCAATGACCTATGCAGCTTGACCCTCCAAAATGGTGTTATTATGTCATATGCTGATGACACAGCTCTGGTGTTCACAGGTAAATCAAATGATGAGGTCTATGAATTTGCCCAAAATGGTTTTAATATAGTGTCTAATTGGCTTCATAATAATCTCCTAACATTGAATTCAGATAAAACAAACTACATGTTATTTTCAATGAGAAATACTCACATATCGACTACTAACCTTAACATTTATGCACATAGTTGTCATACGAGCACGACTGCTGACACAGCATGCGCTTGCCCTACATTGGTAAAAACTGACTATATAAAATATCTAGGTGTCACTATTGATGCTAATCTCAATTTCCGAAAACATATTGATACATTATGCACTAGAGTACGAAAATTAATATATGTCTTCAAATACTTGCGCAACATTGCGGACTTTGCCTTAATCCGCCAGGTATATATGGCATTATGTCAATCCATTCTTGCCTACTGTATTAACTCATGGGGTGGTGCTCTAAAAACTATTCTCCTGCCCCTAGAACGTGCCCAAAGAGCAATTCTGAAGGTCGCCACCTTTCGTCCTTTCAAGTTTCCTACTCAACAGCTATACAGGGAATGCAAAGTACTGACAGTACGCCAGTTATTCATCCTTAACGTAGTACTGCTGCAGCATACTGAAATTGGTTTTAGCCCGATATCTTCCGACAAGAGAAGAAAGGATTTAGTTTGCACTAACCCTCAGACGAAACATGCTTTTACTAACAGATTTTATTTGTTTTTAGGACCATATTTATATAACAAACTCAACAGGTTGTTAAAAGTTTATAGTGTAAGTTTATATAAGTGTAATCTAATACTTACAGAATATTTACAGTCCCTCAATTACTCAGAAACGGAAAAATTACTAGAAGTGTTAAAATAAACTGCTTATTTTTAGTGATAAATCTACATATTAACTAGTATAGTGTTGTTTGTTTCATAATTTAGGACAGGTTGTCCTTGCTTGGTCTTTAAATAATTGTGTAATACGATTTTTATTTATAATTATATCCATCAAATCATTTTTTTGGCATTGATAGCCTGAAACACAGGTTTAAATAAACCTAGTTCGGGTAATCCCTATATATACTTAGAACGTTATTTCCTCGCATGTATATTGTATAAGACTAGATTAAGTAAACTATTACGAGTGTTATTATTAAGACTTTTTATTACTATAAAATCTGAGCGAACTGTAATTCTAAATGTGTTCTATGCTGTTTTTAATAAATTTTATTTTATTTTATTTTATTTTT